AGGTGGAAGGGAGAGAGAGAGGGGGAGAGGGGGAGAGAGGGAGAGAGACTGAGGGAGAGAGAGAAAGAGAGATGAATACGCTCCTCTGGATTGAATTTTTTTTTTAAAGTAGTGACACAAACCAGCAGTTTTAATCCTGCCCGACTACCTTCTACAGTAGCCCCTCTCCGCTACATGAATAGTCATCCGGTAACAAATTAAACCAGAAGTAGCGCTGGTAGGAAGGCATGTTAGTAATGATTCCTGTCCCATCTGTCTCCCCACACGTATTGACAGGCAGCAGACCACTGGGTAAAGTCAGCGGTTTGGTCTGTCTTCCGTATCGGCCCAGTTCCGATACAACCTTCCCCTGTGTACAAACTTACCTGACAGTGTGTACATAGTTACTGTAACATCTTTGACTCATATCTGTGTGGTGGTTTGTGGTAATGGGTCATTAGATTTACAATACTTTCACGGAATATACATTTATCAACTTACGCAAACCTTCATTTTCGTGCTTCCAGTCCCATACGATTTTGTCAGTTTGTAGGATTCTTGCTTCTACATCGTGTAAAGTATCTGTTATTTTCGATTTCGGCCTAGTTCCGATACAGGCTTCCCCTGTGTATATACTTACCGAAGCAGTTTTCACTCGTACCTGTGAGGTGGTTTGTGGTAATGGGTCATTAGATAGGGCACATTAGGGCAAATGTGTGGAAACTTTCTCTCAGGCACTTACACATGGACGTCCCGATCCTGAAAACTCTCCATAGTAAGCAGGCATTCCAGTCAACTTTCCTTACAAATACCCTTAGGACCTTGGGTCCACCATCATTCTGTGATAGGGCTCTAAAGACTGCGGATATCCGTTCAGTACCAAGGGGAGGAGCGCCACGTACAAAAGTTTACAGCACTAAAAATCCTTCACACACAGAACTACTGCAGCATGGAACTCTCTACCACATGGGTTACAAACAGTGTCATCACATAAGAAGTTCAAACAAGGCCTACTAAAGCATATGAGGGACATAAATGTGCGTGAAGCACATAGGTGGGCAGCTAAAGGAGAGTTGTTCCACAATAAACCACCACGTACAAAAGGTTACAGCCCCTCCAAGCTGTTACAGTAGCTAAGAATAGCCCCGTACTCCCTGTACGATGTCTACTGACTAACGGCCACTAACAGATACTCTGCCGTAAATCCTCAACAGTCCTCCAGAGTCCATGAGGAGACATTACCGGTCCTTTTAGCAGAAGAGTCTCTTATCCTCACTTTCCAACCATCAGCCCGAGGGTAACGACCTCCTCCGACCTGTCGTTTTAAACATCTCTGTCGCCATGGCAACGGGAGAGGGTGCCTCTGTGGGCTGTTCCATTTAAAACTACAGGGGGAGTTTTAAAGCACTTTTATGTTATCGCGCGTTGTTTGCCACTTTGTCATATAGTTCCCACAACTCGCAGTTTAAAACGCAAAGTTTAACACAGGCTTTCCTCTTTGTTAATACAGTGGAAGAAAAAGGTTTTGTTCTTTGCCCCTAAAAACATAAGAAGAATGGATTGTATCAAGCGACTTTACCTACTAAAGGTGGAATTTCTGCTGTAAGTCAGAAGTTATTACCAATTGAACGTACGTTTTTAACAGCCAGGTGCAGATTGTTTAATGCTGTTATCTTCACTGCTCAGATTAGCGTCAAACGCTAACATTTGTCGTCTCCAGTTTTACCCGGGGCATAAAATGGCATAAAATCTATACTACCCCCCTCCACGCACACTCGTTTTTAATAATTTTTTTCTAATAACTTTATTGACAAAAATACAAAAAAAACAATACATTCAGTGTGGCACATACATAGGCTTTCAAAGTTAAGATACAAATACCTTTACATTCATGACCAACACAAAATAACCATCATCAGTTACCCTCTACGCTTATCATCATCATAAAATCAGAAACGAAGTCTTGTCTTACACTCTTCGAAGCAGGTAAAATGGAGTAAATCCTTTATGTACATCTTATATAAATAGAACTTCATATCAGTAACACAGAAGTACAGTCTGTTCGACATTTCGACATTGCCAAAAACACACATAAACACACTCACACCTATCGGGAGTTTATCCAGGCTTTTAACCCATTAGCAGTACCGAGGGACGCCACCTCTGACACGCGCCTGCTGACTCGCTTTTACTGCACATCTCAACTTGAGACAAGGCAGAGGCGAGCACAGAAACACTCATTCTTCATCACCTACAGCTCATCATCAATCAAATGTAACACGACGCACGACATGATGGTTCAGTTCTAACCGTTGTTACATATATCCAATACCCAATACTGTTTTAACCAAAAGTGTATAACCAGACCCTTCTATGATAAGTTCCCAACACATATCCCCATCCTACGGTACTGTGTACTCCTAGCTCCGACCATGTGGTCACAGTTCTGCCCAGGAACCCTCGGGCGGTTCCCACAAACTCACCAGGAATTTTTGACGGGTGGGTGTTCAAGGCCTACTGAGCTGAGATGACAGAGCTTCTTTCGTTAGGACACATTGGGCTAATTATCTGGTTCTCAGACGTCTCAAAATAAAGAAATAAAGGCTAAGAAGGAAGAGCACAAGATTACATAAGAGATTTGACAGGTAATCTTAAATCTGACTTAAGTGATATTCACTTCATGTGTATAACTAGCCCGGTGTCCTAACCTAATTTAGCTCCTTCCTCCTCTTCGCAAGTGGTCCTGACACATATTCTTGCTACCGAGTCTTTTTCGTCTATTTTGAAGAGGACGAAAGAGCTTTGGCAGCTAAAATACGTTTATTTACCAGGCTAGTGTACGTGTGTGCAAGCAACTGACTTAGCCACCAGTCTCATGTTGATATTCCAGTTAAGGAATTTTCCTATATATTTAAGGAAGGAAAGATCACGTTGCTGCTGCCTGCAGCTCCAGCTGGTTCCTATCTGTAGATACAGTTTAGAAATTCCGTCCAGGATTAAAGGCTGGAGATTAGGGTGTTCGGTGGATTAGTGTTACCTGTAATCTACTGGTTCTAATTTGTTCCGATATTAGTTTGTTGTCACGTCGGTTTATCCGGTGACAGCGCATATTCGGTGCAGATGTGGGGAGGCCACACATGTACTGGGCTGTATGCGAAACAGTATGGGTATGGGTAGCCTCCATCAGACTTCTTTGCAGGCTAGAGTAATAGTAAAAATAGGCCTAAAAAGAATGTAGCTGGCCAGAGAAGTCGCAATTGGCCACCCGGCAATAGAGGTTCCAGATTGCCTGACAATCGGACCTGCTATGTCCGGCCAACTCCCCTGACCAGCTACATTCTTTTAGCCCGATTTCTACGATTTAGTTATCTTGCAAAGAGTCTGGTAGAGACTAATGACGGGCGAGGTTTGCTATCTGATTGCCTTCTTTCCTTTGTAATTCTACAGATTGAGCACTGCACTATTTCAAGCATCGCCGTGAATGCCCTCAGCTATATAAAATGTAGGTCAACCTTCGCCACCCGTCCTCATCCATACGTGATCATCATTACTATTATCCTGTCAAACCCGAGTTTCTGTAGGCTCGAGTAATTCCACATCTTCAGAACCAGGATAACATGTTGTTATCCCTTCTTCAGTTTATTGTCCTGTATCCCTGTTTTGTTGTCATCCAATCTTGCAGTAAACGACCGAACAACGAGCCTACCAGAAGATGACATGAAATCTGTAAGAGATGAAGTGATCTAAGCGCTTTTGGTCCGGCTGTAATCACTGGTTGTTGAGCGTGTTTTCATCAGGGGGATCAAGTCGTGACCCTGATTTTACCTGCAGGAGGGTCATCAGACTGATAAAGTGGATAAATGGCTGGTGATTGGGGCTAAGCTGACCTGTCCGTGCACAAATCAGGGTCAGAGTGTGGGGTCGTGTGGCGTAACGGCAGAGTGCTCGATTTGGAACCAAGAGGTCCCAGGTTCGAGTCCTGCCATGCCACCGATCTTGTGCCATTGAGAAAGGCAATTTACATGACTTTTCTCACTTCACTCAGGTGAAAATGAGTACTGATGAGTTGGTGGCGGCATTAATATAAGTTGAAAAAAAACTTGAGTGTGTCGTCACAACGTCTTGTGACTACATGTTGGAATAAAAAAAAATCAGGGTCAGAGTCCTGCAGATGTTGGGCCACAATAAAATCTCTTGGTTGTCGGATAACTTTGTAAACCAAGGATTCAAACTGGTGTGACTTAATCCTAGCCAGCTGTATGAGTGAATGTAACTTTAAGTTAAGCTTAAAACCCTGAACATTCATTTGGTTCTCGCATCTTTTAAACTGGACATCAGTTCTGGCCACACAGCTATGGCACCTACATGGCAGACACAGGTGGATCGGCTTTGGCCTGGGTGCCATCCGATTTGTAACGGCACCTCCCAGACTAGATGAGCTAGCTTACAGACTTTTAAGAACTTCGGCTTGATCATATTATTTTGAAAGAAAGCCGTCTCCATGCTGGTCCTTCTCTACCAGACCCGGTGTCAGGGCCAATTAGAACCAGACTTCATCACCCGGCTTGTGACACTGTGGAAGATTAAGGCATTACAAGAACTCTGGAGGATTTGCTAAGAGGTGAAATTACAGTCTTGGGGATTGGGTAAGAGGTAGAAAGCTGGTAAGTATGTCTCCTCACCTTAGAGTAGGCACAGGTGACCCAAAGCACAATTGTACGTCCATCAGTCATTCAGACACCAAAGGAGTCGACAGTTTATCATTCGGTGACTTGTCTGGTACTTCAACATTTGATGGTCATCTATGTCTTGTATTTTCTGGTATATGTCCTGATTTTAGAGTACACACTTTTGTGTAGCAACTTTTCGCACCTTCTGTGTTGATCTTGTCACCGTTTGGGACTGCATAGGTAGAAAAACTGTAACGGTTAAATGTCTTCAGCATTTAGTTTTTAAATCAGAGAATCACCCAATTGAATCGGTGTGGCCTTGAGTCAACTTAGTGTTGCCTTCTGGCAATTCCCAACCATAGCAAGCAGAGTCAACATATTGTTGTCCCAGGTACTAAAAGGTTATAAAATCTTCAGCATTAGTTTTTCTAAGAGAACCACCAAATTGAACCTGTGTGGCCTTGAGTCAACTTAGTGTTGCCTCTTGGCAATTCCCAACCATCGGCAGGCAGATCCACAGTCATTTTTGTTATTGTTGTTCCCGATACTCATCATCATAGCTTTACTAAAAGGTTAGAAAAGCCTTCAACATCAGTTTTTAAATCTGGGGAACACCAAATGGAACTGGTGTAGCCTTGAGTCAACTCTAGTATTGTCTCGTGGCAATTTCAAACCATAGCAAGCAGAGACAACATATTGTTCCGATCTCGAGGTACTAATAGGTTAGAAAAGTCTCCAGCATAAGTTTATAAATCTGTGAATTACCATATTAAATCGGTGTGGCCTTGAGTCAACTTAGTGGAACCATTGGAAGCAGATCTACAGTCAGTAAGTCAACTTAGTGTTACCCCGTGGCAATTCCCAACCATAGCAGGCAGATCCGCAGTAAGTTTGTTATTATTGTTCTGGATACTCATCATCATAGCTTTACTAAAAAGATAGAAAAGCCCTCAGCATCAGTTTTTAAATATGTGGAACACCAAATGGAACTGGTGTGGCCTTGAGCCAACTCTAGTATTGTCTCGTGGCAATTCCAAACCATAGCAAGCAGAATCAAATTATTGTTGTCCGATCTCGAGGTACTAAAAGGTTAGACAAGCATTCAGCAGAAGTTTATAAATCTGTGAATCTTAAATCGGTGTGGCCTTGAGTAAACTTAGTGAAACCAATGGAAGCAGATCCACAGTCAGTAAGTCAACTTAGTGTTACCCCGTGGCAATTCCCAACCATGGCAGGCAGATCCGCAGTCAGTAATTGCCGACCGCTGCCAAATCCGACCCTCTGAGATGAACCTCAGACTCGGAACGTTTAAAATCTGCTGCGGACCCATCGGAGATCTCGTCCGGCCGGAAATTTATGGGTCAGCTTTACAAACCTTTTATCAGCGCGGTCCCCAACGTACTGAAGATCAAATAAGGCCGAGCAGGCAGAAATTACGGATCCATCACCAGGAGGTAAGTAAAGGTGAGGAGATACATCAGGCAGGGTCAAGTTAATCACGGGTTTTCTGGTAATTCACAACTCAAAAACAATAGTCTGACAACTTTTCTGTCTTGCTTATTTGTTCACTTTGACAGATCTCCATTAGTGAGTGCAACGTAAAGGTGAGGCGATACATCAGGCAGGGCCAAGTTAATTACGGGTTCTATGGTAATTCACAACAACAACAACAACAACGACCTGGTTTATGGGGAAAACGAAGCTCTCTGATTGGTCATCTGGCTATATGATGATATGCAATAGAGTTCATTGTCATGGTCATTGCTTTTGTTGACTTGGCCCAAGAGTGAAGTGATGTAGCCGTATCCAAACGGAGCCGATTCAGACAACAGCCAGGCGGACCATTACTGGAACAGTTCCCATCTTCCGCCCGGCTATCCGTGCAGGCTTGTTACTCCCACTACCCTGCTCAACTCGGTCAACTCGGTCAACTCGGTCAACTCGGTCCACTACCCTGGTCAACTCGGTCAACTCGGTCAACTCGATCAACTCGGTCAACTACCCTGGTCAACTCGGTCAACTACCCGGTCAACTCGGTCAACTCGGTCCACTACCCTGGTCAACTCGGTCAACTCGGTCAACTCGGTCAACTCGATCAACTCGGTCAACTCGGTCCACTACCCTGGTCAACTCGGTCAACTCGGTCAACTCGGTCAACTCGGTCAACTCGGTCCACTACCCTGGTCAACTCGGTCAACTCGGTCAACTCGGTCAACTCGGTCAACTCGGTCAACTCGGTCAACTCGATCAACTCGGTCAACTACCCTGGTCAACTCGGTCAACTCGGTCAACTCGGTCCAACCCGGTCAACTACCCTGGTCA